GAACTGGTATTGGCCAAACGTCTAAATATAACAGGACACTCTTGAAGAGTGTTTTCAACTCACGGTGGCTCTACTGGATAAATAAGTAATTATATAATCATAATAATGCAATCGTTTTTAAGAGCGGAAGTTGGCAATCCAGATGTTCGTATACTATGTATACAGAAATATGGACGACAGTTAAAGTTAATGGTGGAGAACATTTTACACGACATGAATGACCTGTTTAAGAACGTGTGCATGTTTCATGTCCTTTCAAAAATCCTGCTTCTCCCTTGCCCAAATATGATCGCAGTCACATCTTCCATGACCTGTGATCTTTCCACTCCTTTCCCATCTCTCTCAGCTCCACACTGTTGTAACCTCCATGCCCCTTGTCAGCCCACTGCATCCTGTGATATCCCTTATGGCTGAATTGAATCACAAAATATCACCGGCCTTTCTGTCCCCTGTAATACAAGTACATGTTTTGCAAGTTCCAGTTTTTTTCTCTCTCACTCATACAGCAATTGAATTTTTAATTCTGGAGGTAATTAGGATATATACCAGCGTTTGCATTACAAAACGAGCCAAATTCATATGTTCATTACTTACCCTTTTGTGCTTGCCGACGGCCCACTTACTTTCATTTTCAACACATCACATCCAATAGTGTTTGCAATGAATTTGCACTGCGTGATTTTAATTTGGAAGTATGCAGTCGTACATTTTTGCAGGTAACTCACTCCCTCTGTGTGGCGTGATGGGGATGGAGGCAAGACTTTTTTTCCCGTAAAAAAAAACAACGGTTATAATTTAATTTGAGTCCACGATGACTAATGCACTGCTTAACGCACTCATCATCGTAAATATTTTAGCTGTTAATTGCAGGTAATTGCTTAAAAGCACATTATTATAAATTGCCTCCTATACTGGCAATTTCATTAACATAAATGAGCAAGTAAGACGCTTTTCCTGTCTACTTTCAGCCTTTCATTGCAAACATTGATTTGCCATGTAATAGCTGCCATCATGTTATAGACAACCCGCACACTGCTGATTACAGCTGTTGCCACATTATATGAGACACAAAAGAGCTCATTACACCGGGAACACGGTTGCTTGCACCATAAATGTAAGGTTGGGATGCTTGAAAAGTGTTCCGTCTTGAGAGTATCAACCGCGGAGAGGCAGCAACGTACCTTTATTGTTGCGCCATGCAAAGGCAGTAAATACAGTTCCAGGTTTTGGTTCAGAGCGCGCGTGCTTACAAATGTGACACATTCTTAAATGATGTTCAGTTGCCAGGAAAAAAAATATTAGAGAAGAACGCCTTCCATCCACGTGTGGTCGGCCTAATCGGCCTGCTGGGCTGAAGAATTCTTGCATATGGATCATTTGCTGCCGCGTGATAACAGTGCAGCGTCCACGTGGCACACGTGCTTGACTTTGTGAAAGTCACAATCTTACTGAGTGTGGCTCCCGGAATAGGCCACCTGTTTAGTCTGGCTATTTAGTTGGCCCTATACGCTCCGAATTGTGTTGTATCGTGCTCCCATTATACGCACGTGCGTATACTGAATACTGTGCTAAATGTTCAGTAGACGTAATTATATTCTATTTGCCAGGCTGAAAGCTGAATCGATCTGTTGGTCGCGATATAGTAAACATGATTATTTTCAATGTATCTGCATTCATTAAATTGGCCAAGTTAGAACTGTATAATGATTACATTTTATAAATATAATTAAATATTGATTTGATATGGATTAGGCCACGTAATTATATGACCGAATTTGTGTCATTATGACCCTCAACCACCCGACACAGCCAAACAAATTAAATTCCCACGTGTACAAACGTTTAACACACTTATATTATGATACAATCTCACTGGCAAGCTGAGGAACAATTCTTCTAGCCAAATTTAGCAATTAGATACGATGCTTTCTTTTGCAATTAGGTCAAGCATCATCAGGACAAGATCCAGGAAGACGTAACAACCGTGTGTCACCTAACCCGGCTTCATTAATAGAAGAAAAACAGATTTAACGCGGATATTAACCATTGCGTATTTTATTTCATTCAAATTAATGTGGGCCAATTATTTACATTGTATGCATTATTAATTATAACTTCTCATTAGCTTACTCGCCTGTAGCAGGAAAGTATTATTATATTGTCTGATATTTAAAACTTCGTGTTAAATGTGTTATAAGGCTTTATTATTGAATATATCACCTACTCTTCAATTATGTTTCCAAGCTGGATTTAATTTATTGATATCAGCTCGATTAAAGTGCTTCTCGCTATCGATATATATGAAAATAGTTCTCTGCTGTCTGTTGTTTGGGATTGAATATCGTGCCTGTGCATACATTTATAACAGTTTATTTATGTCTGGCTTGTGCCCACCTGGGCATCATTGTTTTATTCACTCGGGCTAATTGCATCCACGTGATGACACTCAGATTTAGTCATCGCACCGGAATTGGCAGTCCCTTGCAACTAATTGATTGGGAAAATGCAAATACTGCAGCTCTGTTGGCAAAACAACAGGCTCCGAAATCGTGAGATCTTGAGTTCAAACCTTAACCCGAGTTCAATGGCCCTTCATCTCTATAGCGTAAGGTGAGCGCTTCTTGTTGGGAAATCAACAGCAGTTGTCCTTTAAACAGAATGGATCTTGCCAAATGAGTGTGTAATGTATACCAACGCTTGTGGAATGACACCGGAGATAATTAAGGGTCGACCCAGCCAATAGGAACGCTGTGACTTAAGTATAATAATCTTTACGTATATAAACACACGTTGTTGTATTAGCAGACGTGTTTTTAGTGTCCCACTGCCCCCTCATATTCCATTGTCACCCCCCCCCCCGCGCGCTCTCTGTGAGCTCCCCGGGTCAACCACGCATCAGCGAACGTGCGCGGTGTTGACGTCACCCGGGTACCTTGGACAGCGCTTCACGGCGACATTCAGAGCGTGGCTTATCGAGAGAGCAAAGGCTTCGCTATTTTGCTTTCCAGTTGCCCTTTATTTAGCCAGGTGAGAGGCCACGTGGAAACAACATTGAATGCTACGTAAGACGTTGTATTATCGAAGGGATACTGATTTTGCTTACTATTCTTACAAAATGTACTATTGACTTGTGAAAATTAGGTCATATCTAATATACAATGTACTGTGAGCGTTTTAAGTCATCGCGACAATAAAGAGGCATCGTCGTAATTATCGTAAATGGCATCGTATAACGCTTCGCTGATGTCAGTCACAAAAAGTCAATACATACCAGAGGCGTTTTGGTTTCAGGAGTTTTAATTATAATACTGCGTTCTTTTATATATATATCCACTCACAGATATAGAGATAATTTCCTATCGTATAAGCTCGTGTTATTTAAAAAAAAATACTTTGGTTACTTTAGTTGCAAAGCAGAGTTTTGTATCGTCGAGTGTAGATCAGATTGTTACCGTAAAAATAAGGTTTGCAATCGTTTTCCTGCTTGGGTATATATATATTTTTATAATTGAAATATGTGGACACAATGTACCACAAAACCGTCCCATTTAATATCTGTACATGGATGTGTCAAACGTGTGTATGTATATGCATCGTTCAAATTACACGGAACCTACTGGGGCAAGGGCTGCAGGACACGGGACTTTCCCAGAAATTGCAAGAGATGCGTGCCTAGTTTGCTAAGCCTGATTAAAAATATCCGTCTCTGTCAAACGGCCTCAAGAATTTGCATGTCAATGCATCTCTGGATCGCTGTTAATAACCTTTGCCGACAAAGGTTATAATACAAATATTTCAGACAAATATTGATTTTCGTTTGTATTTCATATATTTAAAAAAAATTGCAGAAATGCACGTATGATATTTCGGTTCGAAACCTGAGCTTGGTCGGGGGGGTCCTCGGCTAGTTGCTCTATTCATACTAAAAAAATAGTCCCCGATATGGCTGTGTGTCAATGCCAGTACTGGCGAGACGCATGACTCTGCGCTTGAGCGATATTGGTTGTCCCCAGGTGCTCGCGAACAACACTTGCCGCCCGTAGCAGTCTACCCAGGCTTAAAGGCGTGGTATATGTTAAATGGTAGGGAATGTGGCAGATACTGTCCTCTTATCAAATGTAAAGTTTTAAAAGGCTTGGCGCACATACGAGTTAGCGAACCCATGTTTAATTCTGAAATTTGCACAGCACAAATGAGGCTCACCCGACGAATAATAGGTCGGAAGGTACTGTTCAAATGGCATTGTGGGAAATGTGCAACAATGACATCTTTATGGGGCGATACAACTGGCTACAGTATAAATATTATTTGGGCTACAGGTGCACAGCGTGGTATTTGACAAAAAGCTCTGCGGACGTCTGATGTAATTGCGGGCGTTTACGTCTGAATCCATGCGTCCACACAATCTCATCATTTTCCATTCAATCACTCAGTTCTCTCTCCTCCCCCATCTGCCGGCCTCTCTTCCTACCTACTCTACGTTGTTCGTTCTATCCCACTCTCCCACTCTCGTCCTTTTCTTGCCTTCTATCTCACGTTCTCCCACAACGCTATCTCTGAATCACTCTGTATATTTTGTATTTCTTCGTATTATTATTATTATTCTACTCAACCTCGTGTTAAAATTAGGTTCACTCTCCGTCTATCGTACGAACATCGGTCGGGCATATAGATTATTAAGTCGGTCGGGTCCCATCGATCGCTCAGTCCCGTGGCTCGCTCGCTCGGTCGCGCGCGCGCGTGGGTTCCCTCCCGACACAAAACGAGCGCCTTAACCAATGAGCGGCGCGCATTGGCGTCCGTGCCCGGGCGTGCGGGCGCGCGCGCGCGCGACCCTGCCGGGGCCAGCAGCAGCGGCAGCGGCGGCGGCGCTTTAATTGGCTCGCGGAGCGTCCCGCGCGCCGGCAGCACCCTCTCTCTCAACGCGCGCTCTCCGCTCGCTCGCCACCCTACCCCCTTCCCTCTCTCTCTCTCTCTCGTCTGTTCTCTCCCACCCTCTCTCTTCTCGCACGCTCTCTCTCTCTAGCGCGCGCGCGCGCGTGTGTGTGTGTACACGCGCGTGTGTGTGTGCATGTGTCCCGCGTCCCGCACGAAGAGGTGTCAATATGGCGACGGCGGCGTGTGCGAGAGGCAGCGCCCTCGTCTCACTTGCTCTGGCCATGATGAGCCTGGTCCGCGCCGACGTCTTCCCGCATCCGTGGACGTGAGTAACACCCCCCCCCCCAGCCCCCAGTACTCTTGCTCATTCGACTCGGGGAAGAAACTCCCAGCGTGCGGGTTTCGCGCGCGCGCGCGCTGGCCGGGTCCGTCGCCCTCATTCATCCATCCATCGCATCAATGCGTACATTTAATCCATCGTTTAGTGACCGCTCAATCCATCTCTTGTCTAAACTATAACTTGATCCGCGTTATCATCCGCGCACTCTGTTTGCCCCAAGAGGACCGGCTCCTCTGTATGGACGCCCCAGCGCTTGTCTGTTATATTCTCCGCATGCCCCGTACCTGGCCGTGTCAATGCCTAGCGGCTGCCTAACCGTGGTCTTAACCGGCGCATTTCAGACTGCTCCAAATACCTCCGTGTGTGTGTTCGACATGAACAAATATCAATGCTGTTACGTTTTACTGTGAGTGCATGGCCGATAACAAGTGGCCCGCTGATGTAATGTGTTTGTGCTCACACGACTTGCCCTGCATTGTGGCGCGCTGCGCTTCTGCGCAACAGTGTGCGTGCGAGCGAGTGTGCCGAAGGGAAACTTGACCAATGGCGCATTGCTTACGCACGCCGTTTTTCTACGAGTTCGACAGAGACTTCGCATTCTTTATTTAACCACGCGCTGCTGGCTATCTGTCGCAACCGATGCAATGGTCAAGAGCGAGTCTTATAAATGTGCTACTCGTTAAAAAAGAGAGAATGACGCGTTACATTGCCCGCCGTCCGCATGCTGTATAGATGTGTGCGTTCATTCCTGAAGGGGTTGCCTCAATAGACGCGCGTGTTATTTCGTGGATGGGTTTAAGTTCAATCGTTTCGAATTTCTCAGTACGTTTATCGATACAGTGAGTGTTTTGTTTCGCTAAAAAAAAAACCTTGGCCCTCAATCTAATCCAAGATGCATCCGATCACATTGTTTGAGGAATTGTTCAAAGTTAGCATTGCATTGGGAAGACAAACACTTGGCGATATGGGAACACAAAGCGGATCGCCAAGAATTGTTGCGGGGGAGGGGGGGGGGATTTGTGAGCAGTGTTATGGGGTTTGCTATGTAAAACGGAAATTACAACGAACAGGAGTCAACAAAAAATGTTTACTTGGGGATAAAAAGACGTCGGCAAAATGTCACTCACTCCCGAAAAGATCTGTTTCTCGTATTGCGCGCAGCAGCGCCGGGTAGCAGCTCGCGTTACGCCATCACTCCGAAGCGCCTTTGCCAGAGTATGGACACGCTCGCTCTCGCTCTCTCTCTACAACAATGGGGAGTCTTGTGATAAGCAGAGGACATCGTGCGTACTGGCTCCCTGCAAGCCACGGCAATGAGCGTCGTGCGAATAAGACGGAGTACGTCAGCAACTGTGTGTGTGTGTGTGCGCTTGGACCCTGTGTGTGTGTGCGTGTTTGAACCCTGTGTGTGTGCGTGTTTGGACCCTGTGTGTGTGTGTGCGCTTGGACCCTGTGTGTGTGCGCGCTTAGACCCTGTGTGTGCGCGCGCTTGGACCCTGTGTGTGTGTGTGTGCGTGTTTGGACCCTGTGTGTGTGTGTGTTTGGACCCTGTGTGTGTGTGCGCGTGTTTGGACCCTGTGTGTGTGCGCGCGCTTGGACCCTGTGTGTGCGCGCTTGGACCCTGTGTGTATGTGTGTGTTTGGACCCTGTGTGTGTGTGCGTGTTTGGACCCTGTGTGTGTGTGCGCGCTTGGACCCTGCGTGTGTGTGTGCGTGTTTTGACCCTGTGTGTGTGCGCGCGCTTGGACCCTGTGTGTGTGTGCGCGCGCTTGGACCCTGTGTGTGTGTGCGCGCGCTTGGACCCTGTGTGTGTGCGCGCGCTTGGACCCTGTGTGTGTTTGGACCCTGTGTGTGTGTGCGCGCTTGGACGCTGTGTGTGTGTGCGCGCTTGGACCCTGTGTGTGTGTGCGCGCGCTTGGACCCTGTGTGTGTGTGTTTGGACCCTGTGTGTGTGCGCGCGCTTGGACCCTGTGTGTGCGTGCGCGCTTGGACCCTGTGTGTGTGTGTTTGGGCCCTGTGTGTGTGTGTGCTCACCCTGTGTGTGTGCGTGTGTTTGGACCCACCACCAACGCAAACAAATATGACGCAGACTCGACGTGAGTCATTGCTTTATTTCGTCTCCAAACAAGGCGCTTTTTATGCGAGACGTGCTCGGTGACTTAAAGCTGTCGTGACTGCAGGAATTAATATTCTTTGGGTCTTTCGGTAAAGTCACGTAGATAGGTTAAAATAAAATAACAAAAAAAACATATTTCCTTTGAACCTATCTACGTGACTTTACCAAAAGACCCAAAGAATACGTGCTCGGTGATTTGTGAAGTGTGAACACCGCGGTCACCTGCATGTAAAGGGGTGGTAACCAACGCGATAGTTGTTCGCGGAGCAAATAGAACGCGATAGACAATAATACAAAGTGCGCACCCAATTTAGCATTGCCTTGAGATAGCCACCGAAATTGCGCGCCCGACTCTGCCCATGTGGCCTGACGCTTACCACAGCAGACACGACGACGAGTACGATGATGATGATGCGATGCCGGGGGATTGACAAGGACGTTCGGGTTGGTTCCAATTGTAATGTTCTCATTAGCCCCGGGACATTGACCCGTTGCTATCTACTGTACGGCGACAGGGTGCCTTCCGCCGCCGATTCGTTCTACACAAAAGTGCACAGGGCTGCCGACAAAGACAAAGATCCCCCGTCTAGCCTTAACAGACTGTTGGGGCAAAGTGCTGTTAGCGAGCGCCTATGAATGTCGGCAAGGCGCACAGAAGGGCTCACGTCAGCACAAAGACAAAGATCCCCCGTCTAGCCTTAACAGACTGTTGGGGCAAAGTGCTGTTAGCGAGCACCTATGAAGACCGGCACGGCACACGAGAGAGTGGGTGGCCAACACCACGCCCGGCCGCCTTTGTCTCCCTAGTGGCGATGCTCACACATCGCACCAGGTACTCATTTGAGGCTGAGTCGACCTAGGGGATGCCCAGGACCGGTTCAGATAATCGTCACTGGTGTTGGCCGTGAGCGGGAATCGCCTGGTTGGTAGCGCAGGGCGCTAACCGTTACACCACCGCTCCCCACGTCAGCACACACACAGACACATCGCGCCAAGGCAGCGCGCCACTGCCACCCGTTTGGCTGCATCACTCACCCGAATCTGTGCTGTGACATTACTTTACCGCCCCCTCTTATTTATTTTTGTGATTACTCCTTATTTATTACATGACATGTAGCATAGGTTTTGTGTTTGTGGCTTTGGCAAGGGATGGGTGGGGGCGATACTTGAGAGGGGTATTTGTAGTTGTGTATGAGCGGAGTTTTGTTTGTATTCGTAATAAAACAGTTGGCACGTTTCCCGTTACTGCTCAATAGCATCAAGTGTTATTGAGATGCCTTGTGGATTTGCAATGGAGAGCTGGATGCATTTCAGTTTTGTATGGGCAGTTTTCCAATTTGCTGCAATACTGCTTATTAGACCATTTGGTACTTCCCAGGTGTGTTTGTGTGTGTGTGTGTGTTAATACAACGATTTGTCATTGGAATTCCGTGTCACCTTCGCAAAGGAGACCTGTGATCTTCCCGCTCTCTATGTCGAGTTAATAATTTGAATACCACTCAGACGCGTTGACACTTCCCCAGTCATTTTTCAAGAGGAAAGAAAATAAACAAATGCCAGTGTTGTTCTGTCTAAATAATTCATCGGCGCGCGAACGTTTTTTTTTTCAATCCAAATTATTATATTGCAGCACGAGTTGTGTCCATTACAATGCGGACAGCACTTTTTTAGTAATTGGCATATATACTAAATTCGCTCCCGACAGTAACAGGGGGACTGCAGCACGTGCAGACACCCGGGCGTGTCTCGCAATGCGCTCCGTCACCCTGTCACGGCTGAGTGTGCTGAATATTTTACGACCGCGTTTAAATCGTCACACTCATCTTAATGTCTACATTAGGGCATTATTTATTCCTCCCCCTCCCCCCCCCAAAAAAAAAAACACACGGCCTTGGACAAGTTGTTTTTTTGTTTGCGGTCAGGAGACCCACGTCTTTTTTTTTTGCTTCTGTGGAGGTTATTCCTGCCCTGGCACGGCGGGTTAGGGGTGGGTTGGGTTTGGTGGGTTGAGGGTAGGAGCTGGTTGATTGACGGTAGCTTTGCGCCCGGTCGGAGGGGTAGTGGGGAAGGAGGGTGGGACTGAGCTGTACGCCAATGCAGATACGCGACCCGCGGTGATAAATAACGGCACGTGGATGTTGTTGCTTCGGAATGCTGCAGAATTAAGCAATGGGCGGGGAGGCTCGACCGGGAACTGGAGCGCGTCGTGCGTCAAGCCAGCGGGGTCGACCAACTCAAGCAGGTACGTGCGTGTGTACTCCCTGTGTGTGTGTGTGTACTCCTTGTGTGTGTGCGTGTGTGTTCCCTGTGTGTGTGTGTGTACTCTGTGTGTGTGTGTGTGCTCCCTGTGTGTGTGTACTCCTTATGTGTGTGTACTCCCTGTGTGTGTGTGTGCTCCCTATGTGTGTGTGTGTGCTCTATGTGTGTGTGTGCTCTCTATGTCTGTGTGTGTGCTCTATGTGTGTGTGCTCTATGTGTGTGTGTGCTCTCTATGTATGTGTGTTCGCTGTGTGTACTCCCTGTGTGTGTGCTCTGTGGTTAGCGGCGCAGCGCTACGAACCCGGCGACCCGAGTTCGATTCCCGCACACGGCCAACACTAGTTACGATTATTTGAACCTACCCTAGGTCGACTCAGCCTCAAATCTAGTGTGATATGTAAACATCGCCACGAGGGAGAGATAGGCGGCCAGGCGTGGTGCTGGCCACCCCTCGTGTACCGTGCAGGCCTTCGTATGTGCTTGCAAACAGCACATACGAAGGCTGAAATGGTGATCTTTGTCTTTGTGTGCAGTAAGGAGGAGGGTGGGAAGGGGATGGGGATGGGGGGCATTTTTCATGACCATTTATATCACTCTAATTAGTATCAGTCCAATTGGTATTAGTCTCATACCAGTTTAATGCCAGTCTAATTGAGACTTTACTAACACCAGTTTAATACCAGTCGAACATCAGTCTAATATCAGTCAAATTGATACCAGTCTAACATCAGCCTAATACCAGTCTAATTGAATATAATACCAGTCTAATTGATGCCAGTCTAATTGAATCTAATACCAGTCTAATTGATGCCAGTCTAATTGAATCTAATACCAGTCTAATTGAATTCCACTGATGACCCCTCTGCAGGGTTCAACTTCAAAGGATACACCCCAGCAGTTGTCCCCTTCGTGACCACAACTCACATATTGTGGGCCATGCTTTCCTGTGTACATGCGTCTTGATACTTGAACAGGCTCCATCGTTGTCAATGGAGGTTTGGTGATATTTTTTTCAGTGGTCTTCTTTGTGATTAGTGAGCTTTTTTTAAAAAAAAAACATTTGCATGATTGAGGAGGCAGAGGATACGGGTCACTGATTAATCATTACAAGTTATCTTAACTTTACTGTGCAATTCTACAGACTATAGAAAAATGGTATGTCCATTTTAATTGCCTAATTTATCATTGATTTATCGAAAACAAAAAAAATGTCAGTACTTTTAACACTGTTCTGTGCGGTCTATTGTACATATTTCATCCTGGATTTATAGGTACGATATACGTGTGCATACTCGTTTTTTACGTTACATAAATGCTTATTTACGAGTGAAATTATGTTGAAAATGACATTTCTCTAAATTAAAACAAGCGTTCATGAATTGCGAAAGCAAATATCACGGATCTCTGGAGAGGCTAGCTGAAGATGATTTGGGAGAAGGATATCCATGCCTCGCATATTAATTTCAATAATGCACACTACAATGTAACTGTCTAACTTATCAATCGCCATCATCCCCAACTAATCCCTACTTTTTAAAGGAGGACTTAAATACATCATGTCAATATGAATACGCTTTGACATCCATTCTTAACTGCTCCCACACATTTTTTGAAATTAATTAACTCTTCATGGCGCCCAAAAAGAAACACTTTTAGTGGCATCATCTGTAATTTGTCTGTGCTGCCACACATGTTCTGACTTTCTTTCAAAGTTCCCCTCACCAATTGCCATGATTGGTGTGCAATCATTTGTGCAGTCATGATAAGGGGGTGTACAGCGTGAAGGCTGCGAGTAATCAGTGGAGACTTGTGTAGGCGACATTGACAAACGGACTTCGGAATGCCTTCGAACTACACTGAATTGTAAGAAATTGTACGTAACCGAAAAAATTTATTTAAAAAATGTACCTTTCCTTTCACGTTTTAGATGCGCCTAAAAAAAACTGTCGAAAATGTGTAAGTGGTTCTCATCTCAGATGTATGATCTTAAATCGTACTATACATATTCAATGTGCACTTAAATTATGAGCGCCTTCACTTTCAAAATGTAATTTCTACATACATTTAATTTCAAATTCAAATGTTTAAATGTTCACTTTACTCATGGTAATGCTCCATTATTATTTATATGAACATTATTAACAAACATTTTGGCATTGGAAATGTTCAACGCTGGACACCAAAGTACTATCATTGCAATGTGTTTTAATAATCGTTTTTACATATGTTGTTTGTTTTGTATTTATTAAGCACACTTTAACCATTGTCTGGCAATAATATTCTGACATTATACATGAAAACAATAGCCCCGCTAATCTGCCTTTGTGAAATAAGCCACGTCTGACGGAAATAATGTGTTTAGAAAAATACACAAATAAACTGTTTAATAACACAAGGAGTTACAATTTTTTTTCTTCCCAAAACGGTATTATTTATTTTCAATTTTTTTTTGTTTACATGCGCAGTTAATTCAAAGAACAAACATTTGAGCAGTCTCTAGTTGCCTGGTTAAAATAACATAATGCAAGAAGTACATAGACCGTAATTACTTTCATTGCCCTGCTGGGCTTCTGTTCTCCTCAACAGATATTTCACCTACAGTTTTCCTTCGCTGCCTCGAAACAAAAAAATATTAGCCGCTATTGTTGGTGGGGCTGCCTCTGTCCAGTTGGTCACAGTGCAGTGCAAGCGATTCCAGTGTTTATTTTTTTGGCACCGAACTGGGATTGCTGTGCAGTGCTGGTCGATGGTTAATTTTATCTGCCATTTGCAGCTGTACACGGAGCACAAGCATCTGTTTGAGGTTCGGAGGAACGATGCACAGCATCTGGTGGAGTCGGTGACCGGCGAGATTGAGAAAGTCCTCGACAAAAAAGTGAAGGCTCTGGAGGTGAGTGTGACATGCCCTCATTTTTCCTGCAAGGTCCCATCTGATTGCATACAAAATTAGATCACTTCAGTGCATTACATGTTTCAGTCGATTAACTGCTTTATTTGCCCTACCGAAATCTAATTCAAGGTAAATTCAGCTTATGGGGTCATGTGGTTTTTTATTCCCGTTGAATTACGAAAGCCCTGTACTGTATACGCTCAAATAAAATACTCTACGGAATGTACGTATGTATGTTGGACTTATTTCGCACCGTACATAGCCAACCATGCTAATCTCGAATATTGCAGTTCAATAGTAATGTAATATACTTTGCCAATCCACTGCTGGATTAAAGCCTCCACAATTCGCCCGTGTTGATTTTGGGAGTTTGGTTGCCCGTTCTGCAGCACGCAGCTCATTGCAGGTTTGTGAATGGATGGTCCAGGATTGGTTCTGATATCATGTGCCCTTTCCAGCGCCTTATCCATGGTTGGGTATTAGATTTAGATCACCAGGTTCATAGAACAACAGGCTAACCACTGTGCTACTGCTTGACACCAAAACACTGCGATATACTGTGTTAAATATATTGTTTCCTAGATACTATTGTGATTTGGGTACCCTGTGTAAATGATAGTGTAGATAACAATGCTAATAATGCCAATTTCTGTACGAAAAAAAAACACCGAGTATCAATACTCTTTTTTTACGAGAATATCGGATTGGAATGTTTGACGAATACTGGTTCATGCCATCTGGGAGTAAAATCGGAGAACCAGGAGAAACCCGTCCAAAATGAGGGGGCGACAATCAACACTCCCATCTCGTGATCACTTTGCAGCTCCACCTGGTGAGGCCCTTGATGGTCACCCATACAAGTGTAGTGACATAGAATTAGCTACGTAGCAGCATAGCGCTGGCTGCTGGCGGGGAAGGGGATCTGCCGCTTACGGCAGCCCTGACGTCAGCAGGCCAGGTGATACACCAGAGCGGGGTCTAGGGGGAAACGTCACGGAAGGGGCACACCAGGAACCCGCTGGTAGGTTCTAGAAAGGGGGCGTGGCCGTGGGCGGAGCCAGGCCACGCTGACAGTATAAGAGGGGCTTCTGTAGGGGATCTCGGGGTTGTCGTTTGGAGTTGGATCCTCGTCGTGCTGTTGAAGATCGTCTATGTCGTCTCGTCGCCATCGTCGCTCTCATCGTCACTCGATATTGCTAGACGGCAGTTGGCTATCTCGGTTCAGCGCCGTCAGTGTTAGACGGCCAGTGTTGTCTATAGGCTAGCAACCCACATAGCGCTGTGTATAAACGAGAGATAGCATAGTGTGTACCAGCGTAGGGTGTGTAGTGTGCGTTAAATAAAGTGCCACCAACCCTTAGTGTCTCCGAAGTGAGTCGCTACACAAGTAATAACCAGGCCAAAAAAAACCCTTGCCTATCTTCTGAGACTTGAAAATGTTCTGAGTAATTTGATGAAAGGCATAGATAGATCTCTTTTGAGATCTCACATCTTAATATTTAAATAACACAATATTATCAAAATGTTATTACGTAAACATCTTTCAGTAATTTATTTGAAAATATATATTTTATAACATTCACTGAGGTGCAATGTCTTACTTGAATTGGTTAATTTGAAAAGGTAAATAATTGTACCCTATTTGGCTGCAAGAAACCAAATAAGTCTACTCTGCAATCATGGTCTCGTCTTGGCACACCCTTAATAGTATTCTCAGGGTCTCAGGTATAATAAGCACATGCACATGAAATGAATTATGTTTTAATCCATTGTCTTCTCTGTGGTGCACAGTTAAAGGCACGTGTGAAATTACTAAAGATGATACTGCTGAGATTGAAATTTAATTCATAAGCTCCAGGGAGCTCGAGTAGGCATGGAGCTTATAAATATCAGCATTTAGTGTACAATTCAATGACGTGTTTTCATTGAGATGCTTTTAGTAAAGCCATGTTTGCTATTTATTATTCCATAATAAGAGGTATTTGTGACTTTAATGGGATTCTGGGGTGGGGGGGGATAGTTTGTTTTTCATTGGTGAATACAGCACAAACAGGTATTAAATACACTCTAGTTACTGCTCCAGCAATCACCAGATATTAACTGCTCCAGGTAAGGATGCATCAAGTTTTTTTTTTCCCCCAGACACTCAAAAATTGCGAAACCTTCAAAATGTATTCTGTTCACGACTAATTGCTTCTGCCATTTTTTTAGAGGCTTTCTGCCTGGGTCAGCTTGGCTTCAATCGAGACACTTTTCTTGGCAAGTGCCACTTCTAGAAGCTCTTGGTTATGGTCATTAACTTCCCACGTGAGCTGACCTAACTTCGGGAATATTTTCCCAATCAGATCTGCTTTCTTGCAAAATTGACTGGGGTAACAATTACCAAAAAAATGAAACGGTGACAATTGAATTTCGATTTAAAGCTTTCATTAGGACGCTGTCTATCCGACAGCTCTGTTTCTTCACCTGAGGACGGCTTGCTTGCGTTGTGGCCGAAACGTGAGAATTTTGTTGTTTCATTTGTATTATTTTATTATTTCCCTTTTACGTGACTTTACCGAAAGAACCAAGAATACTCTGACAAATGGTTTTTAGTCTGCTCAATTTTAGTCTGCCTTAAATATATACATGTTTTTACATACGGTGTAATGGGCAGTGAACTGTTGATTTCATCCACTTTACAGTTCCAATGCAGTTCTTTACAGCAAAACAAAATATTTGGGCAGGATTTTTTGTCTTTCTCAAGGCAACTTCTGCACTTTAGTTTAACCCAAAATGAGCGTTGTCGCTTCACGAAGGAATGTAAGATGCAGCCGTGGCGCTGATTGATGTTACGGTTTTAAGGTGTGTTCATTTGTCTCTTGCGTGATGTCCTTGAGTGCTGTGGCTCAAGGATACCTAACAATTGCCACAAATGTATCTGTATTTTTTTTAAGTTGGTGTTATAAGTTAATCATAATGCCTGTTTAAAAGGCAAATAATGATGAATCGATTAATTGATTAAAATAGATTCTCATGATTTGAATCTGTCAGGGTTGGGATTGGCGGTTTGAGGGAGAGTGGTGAATCATTGCTCCATGACTGTTTAGCCATAATTTTATAAAGCAGTTCCAACTGTGTATCGGTATCCATGCGGTTAACGGTTACTATATGTTGGCATTTTCAAACCTACATTTTACTTTTCATTTTTGACATTCGGCAACGAACAGCGCTCGATGTGGAGTGCAATGGTGCAGTTATATACATTATTCACAGCTTTGAGATTATATTATCTTCCAAGATATCTCGCCAGTGTGGAAGAGTAGGCCAAATACTCTCTAGAGGGGCTCTAGAGCCCCCTCGAGTTCACGCGCTTCTGCGAGCACTGGTGTAAGAAAGACATTTCTCACCGCACCTTTATCTTTCTTGAGTATTTATTGCTTTCGTGTTTTTTTTTTAACACGCTCAATATTCCCCTTTTCTGAAATAACCACAATTCTGTTGTCGCTCATTTTAATCTGGTGAAATACCACAATGCACGCGTTGGATTTTCCGCTGAAACGCATTTGAAGAATGGTCAGGGTTGCGGCAGCATTAATATTTGTTCAGTGCTAAACATCCGTGCGTCCGTTCCTCACTGTACGCTCAGCAAAAGCCAATTACCACATAATAAACAGAAGACACATGCACACATTAAGCAGAACAAGGAAGGTGTCCCCTCAAACCCTACAAATCTGTTCCGGACAGTGAAGATACTGACATCGGCAATCAGCTTCCTCGGAATAAAGACTGGGTAAAGGAATACCAAGTGCACACAACTATCGCATGCCTTCATCACCTACCTGCCGGTGCGTCTGAATAAAAGTCAGTTCTTTCTAGATTTGAAGCTTTCGTGACTGCAAGGATTCATACTCTTTGGTTTTATTCGGTAAAGTCACGTAGGTAAAACAAATTAAAATAAATTGAAATAAAAGAAAAGAAACAATTAAAACACGACGTTTCGGAGGCAAAGCAAGCTTCCATCTTCAGGTGGGACCAGTCACAGTGCAGCGATTTTGCTGTGACTGGTCCCACCTGAAGACGGAAGCTTGCTTTGCCTCCGAAACGTCGTGTTTTAATCGTTTCTTTTATTTTATTTCAATTTATTTTAATTTGTTTTACCTACGTCACTTTACCGAATAAAACCAAAGAGTATAAAAGTCAGTTCTGTTTGTGCAACCCCAGTTGTGGGATCTCATTGAGCTTCCTGAAGCCAGCGTGAATTGAGAACCGAGAGGAAATGAACAAACATTGTACGTTAACGTATATCCAGGAAAGAACAAGAAAGCAAAAAAAAGGTGATTGGTGATACATATAAACTTCGATATATATACACAATGAGCACAATATATATTATTTTGTGTCTTAATTCGTGGCACCCACATGATGCTATAGTAAGCATAACTAGTTTTTCGACTAAAAACCTGTGCCAACAATAGCAGCTCATCTCTGCATATTTACAAGCTGGCTGCATGTCATATGCTGTAAATTGGCTTCATATTTTTCCACTTCCCTCTAAGCAGAGAGGACCTTATGCAGCTTGCTGATAAAACTGTAATCCTGGATTTTCATCCGGAGCAAATCCGATCTTATTTCCATACTCGCTCTGCCAAGAATTCCCTCCTCGTCCGTTTGTGGGGGAAAGAAACATCACCGCAGTTGATTTTAAAGTTCAACAGCCATTACGTCTCATAAGGAGCCTATAAGCCATACCATTGTCGAAATGGCATATTTTTAAAAAAATGAACGTGCGATTAGTTGTCATGTAAATGAGTAGAGTAGCAGATAATTTCGGTGAAATATTTAACAATTGTACTTTAAATGCTGAAAAGCTGACCTGAATAGCTACAACATGATGAATAGAGAGTGTGCAATGTTAGTTTCAGAAATTTCAATGAACAAATGAATAACACTGATTTCAATTAATACAGTGTGTTTTATGTTATTCTAAAATTGCAATCGATAGGAACTAACTTACATTC